CGAGTTTTATTTCGATGATAATTCCTGACAGAAAGAAAAAGAAACGAACTATGCAATATAGATTGATCAAGAAGTCTCGCATTCATTCGTCATGTTATACATGTATGCAGTTATACAGGGTCCTTAGTAATTATTGTGACTTGAGAAAATGTTGATTCCTGATTCATGTTGAAGAATGGCCATGCAGAAAATTGACTACTGAAAAATATTTTTTCTCGAATGCTGGAATCATAACCGACTAGATGCCATAGAGAAACATATCCAACTCGAATGAAGAACAGCGGACTATGTTGTCATTAGTGGAGAGCAATGCTGACCTATATTATTTAGCCAACATTTCCTGTATTATTGTGATTAATTGTATTATGTCGTATGAAAAGCCCAATGAATTATACCGACATATCGAAAATCTGGGCTTTCGTGTATCATCCAATTTTGGAATCAATGAATTATTGGATAGGAGGCCTGGAAACATGAATGAGTTAACTCCCGACTTCGAGAAAATATTTCACATGATGGAACAGTGATGAATAGGAATAGAACATAAAAAGGCTCATGAATGATTCATCTGAATTTTATTCAAAGAATATGATATATGGATATAGAGAACAAATCGAGGTTAATGGAGAATTGTTCATAAGTGATTTGAGTGAGTTGGACCACTTTCGGCTCTACTTTGTTTTTAATATAATGGAAGAAAACAACTGACTTTTCACTATGAAGGAAGTCTAACGCAGAATGTATACTGCACTGTACTGTACAACTACACAAATTACCTACTCAATCTCCATTTTGAGGATTTGGAAGTCCTGTTGGGTCACCTTGAAGGCCCACATCAAATTGAACTAGTTGAGAATTCATAACATGACAAATAATCACAAATCGGATTTTTCAAATGAAACATTCCGAGATCTGCGATCATTTCTGATCACAATAATATATTTAGGATGAGTCATGAGGAACCTTACATACTACTAATAGAGACACCTTAAGGAGGATAACTAATGAACATCAGAAATTGTCTCCTCTCCTCTTCTCCACTTATAAATAGGGTGAATTATGGAATTCGGTCAAAACATATACGGCCACAATTTCAATCCTCGTTTTTTTTGTGACGCAACTTCTGATTAACTATCTACTGACAACTAATAATTCGAAGCATCCTGAATAGTTTTAATCAAATCTCAGTAGAAATTGAATCAGAAGGTATGAAATGACAGATGAGTCTTTTTGACCAATAATAAATAGTTGAGACAGAGAAAAGTCCTAAAATAAAAAATCCTCGATTATGAACACCCCATATCTCTCAATCATTCTCTCTAGACTCCAAGTGTGGAAATTAGCTCTACAGGAAGGATCTGCGAATCCAATGAAATGCAGGGTGTCCCATTTGGAAAAATCAACAAGTACCCTGTAGATCGTTTGTTCCGAGCACCCTGTATCTTCTGATGTAACAGATGAATAATATCTGAAGAATCATTCTGGATCATTGGACGAATGCTCAAATCGGTTCAGAAATGAGTGAGCTAAGAGGAGAAACATTTATGGTGAATCACCATGTACATACTCACGGTGTTCATAGGAAATACCTATGCCATGCAAAATTCACTATTTGAACGGGCCAATTCGACGTAATTACCAAGATACAGGGTCGTGTTACTATTTTATTTTTTTGCCATAATTGATTCACCTTGTATCTTGTAGCCAAATTCCAGGAACAGCCAGACTTGGAGAAATTGAATCTGAAGTCTCTTAGGAAAAAGACAACCTCTACATTGGAATTTCCGATCTCTGCTAATTTTTCCTGAAACAAGATGGGTTGAGGAACGAAAAAGAAAATAAAATCCTTGGTACCTGCATTCAAAGTTCCTTCGAAATAAAATATTGCTCTCTTCGAATCATTCGAGGAATTATTCTAATTTTCATAATTTTCATAACAGATCAACAACAAAATTTTTTGTTGCCAATTCGATCACTGAAAATCTCATGTTTCAAATGTACCTACACGAAAGAATAGAAAGGGTTGGAGTCGGGGGACTCAGCTGGCCAAGGAAGTGTCCCTCCTCTCCCAATCCAACGATTTGGAAATTGATTATCTAGGTTTCTCTAACCTCAACACCAGAATGAAATGAGTATCCCTTTCAAATCAATGTTCTCTAGCAAACCAGACAAACTATTTTGGAGAAAATTCAAATAAGAAGCGCTCGTCAACCTTTAAGGAAACTCATAAGTTCCAATCAAAGAATGTTTCACCAAACCACACCTTACATGATTCGAAAATGTATGTTAGGAATTGGGCTCTCCTCACTGTGTGCCGATACATGAGAATTTCTTGAAATAAAGATACCGTCTTGTGTAAACTGGGTTCTGTATATAAATTTTGAAAAATCGTCGTTTTGTTCAAAGTGCCAAAGGAGTTGTTCACATATTTTCGTTCTTCAATCCATGTATTTTCTAAAATAATAGGCAGAAATCGAAAATTCCAATGTTGAGGGTGATCTTTTTCTAAGATATTTTAGATTCCAAATCTCCAAGTCTGATGATATGAATTAAAGAATCGGTTAACTTGCAACTCAACAGATTATTAAGTCCTTATTTTTGTGCAGATCTCTGTATCAAATGTACTCTGCTGGTGTATGTGTACACACCAACTGGTCATAAATCTAAGCGAATATCTTTCAACTGATATGAGAATGTTATCGATCATTCATACAATTGAGATGAAGCAGCAGTTAATCGAAACCGAATGATGAATCGTACAAAAAAATCTCTGGCCAAGGCGACTAAACTCATGATTCTAGATCAGAGTATGTCCTGTCTATGAAAATATGAGGACAGGCTACTATAATCGTTATAGACAACATATGTTATCATTTGCTGTTTCCATGCCATATTCCCTTGACTTCTTATTATCGAACCTAGTTCATCAATTATATCAAAGATTTTCGGAGATCTTTTCTTAATTCATTATACTTGATTATTCGTGATTCCCTCTACTCGTTTCTATATAATAAGAATATAATTATTATCTCAATAATATCATGTGTAGTTGGAAAAATGAAATGATTTACCCTAGAATGTCACTGCGTTCAATAAATTCTGCTACCAGGGATCCTGAAAAAAGAATTCAATAGCCTGTCAGTGACAGTTTGTTTGAAAAAATGTTTGAGAAAAAAAATATGAATATATTGAAAAAATATCGGAGTTGCACTCATATTTGGACGTGTCGGGAACGAATTTGCTCACGTTCCCAACATGAAAATGCAAAAATATTTTTCTCTAGACGTTGCGTGCTCTTATAGTCAAATACTTATTCATAGTGACATACTGCTGATGTTGGCATATGAATGAGTTACAGAATGTTTTCACGATATGATCTCGAATCTATCATTTTCATTTCATGTTTCCTGTTGTGGATACCATGTTCTACATCCATATCAACTGATCAGAAAGCACAACTTTGAATAACAAAAATTCTTGAATTTTCATGTTGAGAACGAATCTAGATTCGTTTCCGAAACGTCCGAAGAAAAGTGAAAATTTGATATGTTGCCAATATATGTGAGTATAGGTATTTCTTTCCTTCAAACATTTTTCTAGACAAAGTGTCACTGACGAGCTAATGGAATTATTTTTCAAGTTACCTGATATGATGAAAGCAGTGGCATTCTGGGGCAAACCATCTGATTTGTCCTTCTACACATATATTGAAATAATACTCATATTTTCATTTCATAGGAAAGAGGAGAGAAAGAGTCCCTGATAATCAATTAAAATGAATGTTTCACCTCCTCGATTATACAACAGACAAAATCATCACTACAGTTCGGGACCTATTCACTGTGAAGAACTATTTGCGGATCATTGCATATCTGAATCCGATGGAGAAGTTGTTTGCTGATGAATTCTCATAAATTGAGTTCAGAACTCCTCAGTTTTCTGTTCACGCTGTACAGGGTATTCTACATAACATATTGACAACCCCTTTATCTGATGAACTAGAATAGATTGGAAAACAACTGAGAAAAGATGTTGTTCATAGTCATATGGACTTTATTCTTCAAATAATGGTAATTATATGGAATAACATCAATTTTATTTCGTATTTGGCAGTTCGAATGTGATTGATTTATTTTCAACCAACAACTTTTCTTTCCAACTCTTATCTATAGAAGTTGTAGTTTTTCACCCTCAGAAGCTCACCTTCTTCATAATTCATTCTTCTAATTTTCGTTACATTCATTCTCTTCTTTTTCCAATGGTTGCATTCTGTCATTTTCTTCCACTCTTGTCCATTTTCAGAGACTCCAGCACATGTCTCAATCTACTGGAGAGAACCTCAAAAAATCACATAATCGATCATCTCTTCATGTGCCTGTCAGTATTTTGCATGTTGTGGACAGGCTTGAAGCAATATGCGCTGTTGTGATATTCAATCTACAACTCATATTGGAAATAGTTATTGAAACGAATTGATTGGCTGAAATTGACTAACTAAATATGATTATGATTTTGTTGCATAACGACGGGAGTTAAAATTTCAGATAATTTTGCCAAATATCATAATTCATCTGAATGAGTACCTAATCAACTTTATTCAGAAAATAAGTGATTTAAAAATACTTTCCATAATATTCGATAAAGTATGATTAAAAAACTTATGAAATTCCATTGCTGTTATGATATATAGTCATAATCTATTCATAGATAGATAGTATATATAATACCGGCAGCGTGAAGTAGCCAAGTTCTTTCTCAATTTTTTTTCTGAAGTGAAATGATCAAATATTCACCAACATCGCAGGGAGCTGAGACTCACAATATTGAAAACTTTTTTATTTCAATATCCTTTACCACAATTTATGAACCGATGTGGTATTGTAATGAGCGACTCTCATTGACGCATTACATCTCATTCATATTTTCTCAAGCTAATGTAATCGTTTTCGACTTACCCATTTAGTGATCATTCAATATTGCATTTCTGATTTTCATTACAGTGCTACAAAAGGATTCTGGAAATGGAACCTGATAATATTCAAGGACTGCACAATCTGTGTGTGGTACATGTCGAGAGAGGTAAACTATTAGAAGCCCAAACATGTTTACTTGAAGCTCACAGGCTCGCTCCTGATGAGGACTACGTCTTGCGCCACCTTCAAATAGTCCAAAACAGAATTTCTAAGACATCTCCGATCACCAAAGAAGAAGAAACCAACCCGAAAGAGAAGAGCAGAGTCGTTTCAAATAAGAGCATCGACGAAACAGATAGAAAATCTAAGCCAGTTGTTACTGGCGACTCAGAGGAGCAGAGGTACAGTAGTAGGGTGGTTAATACGGAATCCATGTTTGTTAAAAATATCGATGAAAACATCGATTTTGATGTTTACCCAGAATCTCCTGCTACCCTATCAGAAAGTGCAGACTTCAGCAGAACCCAATGGAGTAGCATCGGAACCGATAAAGATGATCCTTCTTCTGGTATGTCCTAAAGATATTGAAATCATCGAGTTCTATGAACTTAGTATCTGAGGAATTTCATACCAGCCACTAGATGTAGTGTTCGTTCTGTGATACTCAGAATAATCGTTTTTAAAATATGTTTTGACCCTCTGATTATATTGTGAAATCAACATTTGAATTTTATATATACATGTGAATGAAACCACCCTAATGTGACTTACAGTTCACAATCATTCTGGTCATTTCAATTTGAATAGGAAGTATTAGTGATAATGTTTCAAGCTTGAGATTATTCGACGTAATATAGATTTTTCAGAATCAGAGTCAACAAACTCATATAGGATTTTTATCAAAATAGATATACTGAATGATTCATCATCATCAACATCATCATCATCATCATTACTGTGTAGGAATCGTTAATGTATCCTTATATTTTTTTATAGGGGCAAGAATGAGTGTCTTTGATTCTGGAAATTCCTATAATATATTCAGTTTTTCTGAATTCGTGATAAATATTTATAGTTATTTCATGTATCGACGTCATGAGTGAAAATTTGTATGGTTTATTACGCTTCTGTATATCTAATCATTGATTCTATGATTATTTCTTTCAAAATTCAGCATCCTTATTTGTATACATTCATGAGTATATTTCAATACTACTGTCTTTCCGAATGAGTGTTGTTTTCAAGAAATGATCCAATTAATCATTGGAGAGATTGAATGACTCGATAGGTTAATGGACGAAGAGTACATGTTTTTTTTCAATACATTCCCTCGGGTGCCCCAAGTTCAAACAATGAGTCTTAGCCATCGATACAAGCCTTCTTTCCAAATCTGCCCGCGAGATACAGACGTACACTGTTATAGTAACTCTTGAAACAATTGAATCGCTGGTAAATCACTCAAATGAATTATATATACGTTATTGAATCACTTATATAATCACTCAGTAATTTGGTGTTAGTGTATGGGTCTCTCAAAAAACATATATCCTGAGTAATAATTTTCATTGAGAGGAAATGAAACGAACTCTCCTTGACAATCAACAGAATAATTATGAAAGCCGACTACGAAAACCTGTGATAATTTCACCAGATGGGTTTATATACTCGTATGGAAGTTTGTTTTTTCGATTGTATTCCCTGATTGGTTCCAGCACTGGTACCATTACTTGATAACTGAAAACAGGCACAGGATTAGGGATGCAAACGTGCAAAAACATCCATGGCCTAATTGAGACTGGAACCAATGTGTCAGTGGGAGTTCTCATACGAACTTAGGTCTTTTGCGCTCTCGACCACCAGACCGATAATGTTAGCATCATGCCAGTCATATGAAATACTAATTCTCCTTATTAGGTGGAGTTATAAGAGTTTGAAACATTAAAAATTTGAATTTCTATTCATGACAAACCATATATCTCGCTCATTGAAATGTAGTAATCTGTCGATTGCTGATGTTCTGAAATTCGAATCTGGGACACCCTGTATATTCCCGATCCCTAGATTATTATTCTGAATCGAATTTTGAGAGTGATTTATTAATATTAGCTGTTTTCCCACGAGATGGCTAACTCCCTTCTTTGGGTCGATTTACCCAGATTCCTGCTATTTCATTAATAAACTATCGTTGTTATTTTCGATTTAGACGTTAACGTTGAGAATTGATGGAGTGACTGATTGATCAATTGGAACATATATTTAAGGAATATGAATACCTTCCATGAAGGTATAGAAGATATCGTGATGAAGTTGGTGTCGATGATATGATATTTTGGATCATTTCCTGATTTATCAGCCAGATAGAAGTCCATGGAGATAATTGTAGTTACAATTGTATGTGTTTCATCAATTCACATTATTCATAGCAGATTCTTTCAGGAATTATGTTTTCGTTGTAGATTTATATGAATAGCATCATACAAATTTCATGACAAATTATAATAAAGATCGAAAACATTATTATTGTATCAGCTGTCAGTACACACATTTCTGACACCAAGTTTTAACTAACAATTTCAGTCTCATCATCAAATCAAAATATCATTTTCGTGGAAATAATTTCCTCACATGATTATTTGAGGTTGTTGTTTTATTTCTTCAACAGTTTCACATATTCATCATCAATCTGTAAGAGAATCATGCCAATGATTGAGGAAATTAATCATCGAATACCACTTGTGAATTCGACGAATGTCAATTGCCTGGCATCAAGCAAGCGTAAATTGTTCGAAATATTTTGAGTTTATTCTCACTCTATTGGGAATTTAGTACAGAGTAATCCATTGAGTTTCAGATCAAATTGAGATAAACGATATTTGTTATCAATGCGATTCACACGGTGTCTATAGAATCAACAAATCCACTCTATTTGTTCCTTTACTCAGAGTTTTGTAACGTTAAACAATAAGTGAACCTATGAATACTCAACAGCTCTAGATTTTAATTTTCGATTGGCGATGTAGGTATTTGTGAAACATCTACTGAGGTTTAGAATACATTTTTCCAATATCCGATGTGTATAGGATCCCGATTCTCCTCAGTGGCGAAGAAATGTCACTTAATTAGGAATCAAACTCATCAATCGATGGAGGCCAATAATAATAAAAAAATTAATATCTGTGAATACTGGTATGATTGTAAGGCTAATGGTATATGGGATATTCGCAACATCCTGAATATATCAATATTCCTGTTATTTTCAATCATGGATTCTTTACGTACCTATGAGGTGTACAAAATGTGAAGTTCGACGTTCGCTAATATGTCGTTTCAAGAAAAACGTATAGTCTGAGAACCAGCGATCGGCAGACTCACGGTATATAGTTTGTTAGCAAACTTCATATTGATGCTAGGAATACTATTTCACCTGCTGATGGAATACAGAGGTCAAAAACTACTTCAAAAACGTGATCGCAGCTTGTCTGCCTTTTCAATATCCTAAAGTTTCTTTCTCTCATTAAAATACCCCATGGCAGACACTTGTTCCGGTTCCAAGTATATTTCATAGAATTTCAAAACATTATGATAATATGCCTCATTCACACAAACTGAAGAAACATGCTTGCATCATTCACAAAAATGATGAGAGTTTTTCTTTGGCAATTCGATTACAGGCAGACTAGAATCTGATCAAGTTCAATAATTAAACTGGAAAAAAAAATCATTAGTTCGACCCACCCTTCTTACCTGGTTGGAGTTATTTTGCCTAGCAACCATGACGATGTTGGAGTAATGCAAATTTTTGTTATTACTGTTTCGAAAATCGATGGAGCATACTTGGAACCGGTATGAGTGGCTGCCAATCAGTTTTTCAATGACAGCAATTATTCTTTTCAAGAAGTTTATGGTAACCAAAAGTGGGGTGCTGTGGTTCATAGATAAAAACCCAATTTCATCTTCACAACTTTCATCAGAATGTTCGAAGATCAATCGTTACGTCATCAGATAAAAGAAAGTATCATAAGTGTGCAAATGGAAAACGTAGAAATAAGAATCGTATAGTTAATAACAGGTCAAACACGGATGTGTGCTTCATGATTGTCTCTGTAAAATGATATAAATTTATTATAAACTTATTTGAAACGGTTGAGGGTCGGGTTTGTATTTTACAAGGTGCTCTCGAATTATTGAAGGGTGATAACTAAACGTTGAAAAAAACTAAAGAGTTCGATGAGGTATAAATTCCAGTATAACCTTCAGGTTGATTTTGATGCCTCATAAAACTTTTCAGTTCGATTTCTCAACGTTTAATAATCACCTCGCAGGTGGGTCCTTGTGGAATATGAATCGGAACCTCAACCATTTCAAATAAGTTTGATAATAAATTTACATCATTTCTCAGAGACAATCAAGGAGCATATTTTTCTGTTTGCTCCATTAATAACTATACCATTCGTATGTCTACCTTCCTTATTTCAAGAATAATGATACTGTCTATTGGATGATGATGGGCTGCTTATACAAGCTCGAAACATTTCCTCTTACGATTGATCGTTGATCATTTCAATAAACGTTCTGGAGATGACTTCGAGTTTTCATCTATAGGAAACAAATTATGTACTTTTTGATATTGAAAGGAGAGACATGCTACGATCACGAAATCATCAAAAAAAATCGTTCATTGAGTCGTCTTGGCTGAGAGAACCAGATCTCAACAATGTTATAGCACTAAATATTCAGGTTCATCAGAACTTCATCTAGCCGCTCACAATTTGCTGACAACTCAATGATTCGATCAGCAGCATACATTGATTGTACGCTTATATCATCCTACCAAAAAATTACCGAACTTGTCATGTTCGATGAAATGTGCCTCATTATACCGACAAAATGTGATAATCCATTTCTGTCACTACAAATATGGTTGGTTGAAGACAAGTAATCAAAGTATTGAGGACAGGTTTCACTTATCAAAATATTCTCCATGAATATATGAACATACAGTTCATTCATGTAACTCAGTTGAGGACAGGTTTCACTCAACAAAATATTCTTTATGAATATATGAACATACAGTTCATTCATGTAACTCAGTTGAAGTTCTAATTGATTCAGGAACATTGATAAAACCCACCAACTTGAAACGGCATTAATAAGAAGTGAAAAATGCATGTTACATGAATTCTGATGAGGAAAATGTACTTGATTCGAATCATCCTCATGAATATCGTTCATATTTACTGGAACACAAAATAGAAATATATATATATATATATATACATGTAAGTGAACCACGATAATGTGGATTCCAGAGCGTTACTTTACTTTTTGTACACATTGTTACCATGACATATTATAATACTGAATTCATTCCTTTATAGACATTTTTCTGATCTGACCTTTGGCTGATGATAGAAATGTATCATAATAAGTGTATTGGTGTCAAGGCTTCTTAGCCTCTAGTTTAGAATCATCCACGTGGCCAAAAAATTTTAGGAATATTTCTAAATAAGTCTATGCGATTTTTCAAAGAAAAAGCATTATTTTGCTATCGTGGATCTTAGTTCGTTTGTATTATGTGA